AATGTGATTTTCCAGACTAGCTTTTGCTATCCGTTCTCCCATTTCCTTTTTCATTAAAGCATTCTAAGAGAACAGTTTACATCTGCTGTCTTAGTGTTATGGTGCCTTGTCCTCTCTTCCCTCTACTGCTGCTGGCTTCTGCTCTTCACCACTCCAGTAAATCTTGTGTGTCAGAAAGACCTGGTGGTGATAAAAACCAACAAATCTCTCTTCATTTACCTGATTTCTCTCGTGGCACTTGGTAATTCTGTCTTTCTCTATCTCTGTCTCTCTCTGATGATGAGATGGACAATGGGAGGTTTTTAAAAGGCCTGTGGGACTCTCTTGTCTTGACTGAAACTGTCTTTGTCTCTCGTCCTGAAACCATCATCTCCCTTGACTGCTAGTAAATCCATATTCTTTCTTCTACTCTGACACCACTAACCTGCCCTGGATTCAGTTCCTTTGCCAAATTTTAAAATGTAGGCATTTCATAAGGTTTTGTCTTGACTTTTTCTGTTTTTTGTTGTTGTTGTTGTTGTTGTTTGTTTGTTTTTGCCATGCTTTGCCTTTAAAGCTGACCTGTACCAAAACTAAACTGATTTTACATGACTCTGCCAACACTCATCACCATATACAAATGCACACACATGGGCTTCCACCTATGTTCCTTATTTTTTGTTACTGGAATCTAGATACCCCAGTTAAAAAAAAAATGGAATTTTCCAATTTTCCCTGTCTTATATTTTTACATCTTGTAAATTACCAAGATACATTCATTCTGTCTCCCAAATCCTTCTTAACTCACCTTTCTCTCTAGCGTAGTCCTAGCCCTTATTGTTTTCCACCAGGTCTATTGTGTTCGTCTGATAACTGATGTCCCAGTGTCTGCTCTGGTCACTCATTGTCTACCCTTGTTGTTGCCACCAGTTGCCTAACACATGCTTCTTACCATTTTATCACCTCTGCTACCCAGCTACCCTTGATCTCTGCACCTCCAGATAGAGCCCAGAGTCCTGCCTTCCCTCACATGGCCCGCACCCTAATAGTGAATGTCCCTGCTAATATGCAAGTCTTCACATTTCCCTCAAAAGGCCTTGCTATGTTATTCTTTTGTGCTTTATTGCCCTTGTTATTTTATTTTCTTTTTCCTGAAGTATTCTTTGTTTCTCTCTATCCCCCTTACACGTCTCATGAGTTGTTCAAAACCTGTGTCCCTTTTCTCTGCCCTGTGATCTTCTCATCTCCCACTCTGACCCCCCAGCAGAGTTAATAACGTCTTTTCTTTTTCCTTTTCTCCCTCTGTGTGGGTTTCCATTGCTGCTGTCAGGCTATTATATTTTGTTGTGTATCCTGTCTCAGGTGGTGTGAGTGTTTAAGGGCAAGGCTCATTGTACCCCCAGCATTTAGCAGAATCCCTGAAATGTTGTTAATACTTAGTAAATGTTGGTTAAATTACATATAATTGAACTGAGTATAGCTTCAGGTATGGTTTTGTAGGGGAAATGAATTCAAAATAAGATTCTTAGTGTCCTTGTTTCAAAAATGTGGTTTGGTTACTTGGTGGAATCTAGCTCTGACTCTGTTAGGCAGAAGAACTTGGAAAAAATAAAATGCCTGCCAACTTAGAGTATTAGAATTGAAGCAATTGAAAGGTTTTCTGATGTCCCTCCTAAGACATTCATATTTCACTTTATATCTTGCTGGTCAAACTTTATACACATTACTAAATTTCTCAAAGTTGGTTGTTTTTATTTTGAATATTTTCCTATAGGGACAATGCTGCACTTTGTATCAGTTAGGGTACACTATAAAGACAGGGAAAACACAATAATTGAACATGGAATGCTTAATATAAACAATAACAAATTGTTTACTATGGGTAAATAAACTCTAAAGAATATAGGAGTAGCAGAAATAGGGAGCCAAGTACCCAAAAAGGCACCACCCCGTCCACCCAGGGCTGGGATCCAGACCTCATTGGCAAACGTGTGTCATACTGCGTGGCAGAGAAGTTCACCAAAGTGTTATAGTGAGACTTGCAGGGAATTGATGTTCTGGGGTTCTAGGGGGAAGCTGTCCACAGGGAGGTGCTACACTGCAGAACTCACTGGGAATCTGCCAGTGGGGACGGTGCACCAGAAGGCCATTCTCTGGGGTCTGAAGAAATGCTGCCCATGGTTGATGCCATGTGCCTTCAGGTAAGAAGAGAACCAGGAAGAAGACCCCCTTTTCTTCTAGTGTACGTCCTCTGGCACCCTCTATCAACATTGCTTAGAGTTGTGTTAGCCGACATAGGTAGGGCAATGGAAAGGTAGAATTGGAGCTGAAAAGCAACAGATTAACAACTGGCAAAGTCCATCCGTTTAACTACTGAGTTTCCCTGTGTTCCAACTTGAGTTACGACTATCGCCGAAATTAGGGTACGAATAGACCAAAAAACGTGTATATATAATGTATAAGATCATATGTATAAATACTTTTAATATTTGTGAATATAATTTCAAAGTGCATATAAATAATTCTTATGCAGCTTATAAATATCTAATTTATTTATGCTAAATGTCACTGCTCAGTGAGAGTGATTAGATGCGGTTGAGAAGGGAGATGGAGACGTCTTTGAGTTCTGAAGTAGTTCTTGTCATTCTTAGACAAAACATATTGTTAAACATCTCTATTTCATTGTCTTTGATATATAAATATTTAAAGCACTATTCCTATACCTGTCACTTAAGAATGAATTTTGTTGCCTTAAAAACATAAAAAATAAAACACGGAGGCTTTTCAATAATAAGTAATTGAGCTAGAGCTGGTAAAGAGAGAGGAAGCTGGTAAAGAGTTACACACACAGAGGGTCCCTGATTTGTGACAGTTCTGCTTATGGTTTTTCAGCTGCCATGGTAAAAAAGTGATGTACACTCACTGGAAACCACATTTCGAGTGCCTATACAGCTGTTCTGCTTTTCATACTCAGTATAATATTTGACAAATTACATGAGACGTTCAATACTTTGTCATAAGGTAAGCTTTGCATTAGATGATTTTGTCCAACTGTAGGCTAATGTAAGTGTTTTGAGCATGTTTCAGGTAGGTTAGGTGTATTAAATGCACTTCTGACATGATACTTTTAACTTAAGACAGGTTTATTGGGACATAACCTCACTGTAGTTTGAAGAGCATCTTATTTAACAATGCAGAATTTACTACCACTGTTTCAGTACATAAGTCAGTCAACCAAAATATTTGAGTTCCAGAAATCTTGTTGGCATTGAGCAAAGATAGGAAACAAGGAAAACAGTTTGTGTGAGTGATTTTAAGAGGGAGAACTAAAGTGGTGGGAGAAGGCTTGGGGTCAGATAGTTGAGCTTGCCCGTCAGTGGTTCAAGTGAGTCCACTTTGACTGTATCAAGCAGGTGTGCTTCCTGCCCCGTGCAGGCAGGAATTGTAGTGTGGTGCAAGCAGTGTGGTCATAACTTGGGAGTACTTTAGTATAATGAGTCAGTTCTTAGGGTAGCAGTTAAGGCCAGGCATGGTGGCTCATGCCGGTAATCTTAGCACTTTGGGAGGCCAAAGCAAGAGGCTTGAGCCTAGGAGTTTGAGACCAGCCTGGGCCACATAGTGAGATCTCATATCTACAAAAATAATACAAAAACTAGCCAGGCATGATGGTGTGTGTTTGCAAGTCCCAGCTACCTGGGGAGGCTGAGGTGGGAGGATAGCTTGAGCCTGGGATGTCAAGACTGCAGTGAGCTGTGATTATGTCACTGGGCTACAGCCTAGGCCACAGAGTGAGACCCTGTCTCAAAAAAAAAAAGGAAAAAGAAAAAGTTGACATGAATTTCTGTTCTGTAAGCTCAATAACAGCATATAATGTATGGAAGTGATATTAAACTGTCCTGCAGGCTCTTCTGGGAGAGTCTTTTGACATTATAGAAAGAGGAAAGCAAGAATAAAAGCAGCCTTATATGACCCATAGAGGATTCTTAGGAATAGTGACAACATAATAGATGTTTAATGAATCTTAACTGATACTTAGATTTATAACTTAGCAGAATGAAGAGATTTAAGGCCAACTCATGTCTCTTTCCAACTATAACTTTATTATTGTACTTACCTTTACCCAACTCTTGCTACCTGTCTCATGAACATGTTACTCTATTGTTGTCATTGTTTTTATTTTATTTCTTTTCCAGTAGTAGTGGACAATTAGAAGTCACTTAGAGGTATTGCTTTTCAAGCCTCCATTCTTCCTAGTTATTATAAGTGTGTGAAAGTTGGGGAGGTGATAAAATCAGGGATGGGGACAGGTATATTCTAACCGCATCCCCTCAGCTGTTGGGCAATTTTGAGTAAAAATAACTTATGATAAATATTAACTTGGATACTAGACTTACCCTACTATTGGTCTTCAAGTCCACATTCAAATGATAGAGGATCCTCTCCCTGCTGAAAAACCAGCTAGAACTCTCAGACACAGGTAGGGATGTTGGGTTCATATCTGCAGTTGCTTTCCTAATCATCTTTTTTCTTTTTTGGCTTATAAGCAATGATCATTTATTTCTCATAGTTCCAGAGGCTTAGGCAGTACAAAATCAGGGCGTTAGCAGATTTGGTGTCTGTGAGGACCTTCTTCCTGATTCATAGACAGCTGTCCTTTCACTCTGTCCACATGTGGTGGGTGGAAGGCATGAGAGAGTTCTGGTGCCTGTGTGTAAGAGCATGAATCACATTTATAAGGATGCCACTCCAAAGGATTCAATTGTAGAGGTGGCAGACATACAGGGTCAAAGCAAACCATCTTATAGGCTATTTTTTTTACTGTATACTGTGTCTCCTAAACATTTTAACATTTTAGAGAGATTTGGGGCCACCATTATATTAATTACCATGTATTATAAAACATTTTGAATCATTGTGGAATATTTGGCTGAAATATTTGCAGACGCTCTGGCTGGATTGCTGAAAGCAAGTGGTGTTAGTGTTCACACCTAATTGTAAATGGATTTTGTTTTGTTTTTCAGGTTTTTCTAAAGAGTGACCGAGTGGCCAGAATGGTTCAGAGTGGAGGGTGCTCTGCTAATGACTTCAGAGAAGTGTTTAAGAAAAACATAGAAAAGCGTGTGCGGAGTTTGCCAGAAATAGACGGCTTGAGCAAAGAGACGGTCTTGAGCTCATGGATAGCCAAATACGATGCCATTTACAGGGGTGAAGAGGACTTGTGCAAACAACCAAATAGGATGGCCCTGAGCGCAGTGTCTGAACTTATTCTGAGCAAGGAACAACTCTATGAAATGTTTCAGCAGATTCTGGGTATTAAAAAACTAGAACATCAGCTCCTTTATAATGCATGTCAGGTAAGTGGTCTATATTTTCCATTCCCTCGTCTGACTCCTGAAATGAACATGAAGTATTTATAAGCCTATGAAGTTGTACTTTACTTGCTATGATCACTTTACTGGGAAAATTGAGCAAAATTGAATTTTAGTAAATCACATAGTGATATGTGAGAGAAGTTTTGAAAGAAGTATTTGATAAGAATTTCAGTACTTCTTATCCAGTAAATAATTATCCCCATGTGCCCTATGTTAAGACGTCAGATCTGTGCCTTGGATATATGTGGACCATACCCTGTAGAGTAAAATGAAAATCATCTCCTATCTGAAGAAGCTTGACAATTTATAAAAAATAGGCATTTCTCACTGCAAAATAATCTTTTATAAATACATGATGCTGGTCTTCTGAGTTTCATGGAAATAATGAAATTTCAAATTGTTTAACTCACCCAGATAGAAATAAACTGTGGATGATTGTTGAACTACGTAATTTAAAGAGATGACAGAGTTAATATTATATTTTCTCTTCAGTTGTTATTCTAGTCATACATATAAAACTGGGATAAAGGCAGGGCACAGTGGCTCACACCTGTAATCCCAGCACTTTGGGCGTTGAGGCGGGTGGATCATGAGGTCAAGAGATGGAGACCATCCTGTCCAACATGGTGAAACCCCATTTCTACTAAAAATACAAAAATTAGCTGGGTGTGGTGGACTGTGCCTGTAGTCCTAGCTACTCAGGAGGCTGAGGCAGGAGAATAGCTGAACTTGGTAGGTGGAAGTTGCAGTGAGCCAAGATAGCACCACTGCACTCTAGCTGGGCAACAGAGCGAGACTCCATTTCAAAAAAAAAAAAGGAATAAAATTACATTTCACATTTTTTATTTTTTAGACCCAATGAGTTGTCTAATAACGTAGTCCTTCTGTATTTATATTTTGTTTGTTTATTTTGGGAGTATAAATTATTTAACTATCCCCCAATATACTACTTAAATTGATAAAATTCTGGCACTTAAAAATTTATGTGTTCCTTAAGAATTACACTTCTGTAATGTACATATGTTTATTTTTAATCTTTTTGCAAATCTTCTCTTAATTTCTGTATTATACCCATATTGGTTACTTTGCATTGGTAATTTGTGGATCATTTCAAATCAGTACATTAACAGTTAATTAATAGTAAATCAGTGTGGTACTTTAACCCTGTGAACAATTCATGTACTCATTATAATTATTTCACTGTTTTATTAAACCAGGTGGTTATTTGATAATAGTGGAAGATGACTGTAAAACCAGAATCTTCTACTTTAAAAGATAGCTTCAACCGGGACTTTGTATTTTCAGTGAAACTGTAGCTCACTTGTACAAATAAATGTTCATGAACATAATTCAGTGGGAAAATTCAGATTCAGACAGTCAGCAGATACTTGTTGAGCTTTATTCAAGTCCAAGGACTCTGTAGGTATCAGGGAATCCAAGTTAAGTGGGAAAATTTTTTTTTTTCCTCTATAGAGGCTAAAGTCTCTATAAGGTAAGACTTGGTAAGTCCAAGAAAAGTCATTTATTTGCAGCTTGCCAGCTTTTTATTCTGAGGATAGGAGTGATGACTTCCAAGCTCTTTATATGTCTCAGCAAAAGCTATAATTCCTTTCAGTTCTGAGATTTGAAAGAAAAGCTTATGGGTTTTTTTAATTGATTTTAAAACACAAATTTTAAGACCTCTGAATGAGTTATTACTTACAGATTAGAGTATGCTAAATGTTACAAGGTTATAAAGTATATTTCCATGTTTCTGTGAGGTTATGTTATTAACTTAAAATATGTTTAGGTTGTCTGCCTACTAGAGATTCAGCTGAGGTATGGACATCCTGGTTTTAGTCTTCTGTGATTTGAAACCTACTTGCAATTCAGATCTTCAACTTTAACAGTGGATTTGTCCTTGCTCAGGGTTGGCCTGAACAACAACAAATAACAGATTTGTTTATTTGTCCTTTCAGCTCTATCAGTATTTATCTCATATATTTTGATATTCTGTTAGGTATATATGTATTTGTATTAGGATTGTTATGTCTTTTTGTAGAATTGACTCCTTTATCATGATACAGTATTCCTTTTTATCCCTGATTATCTTCCTTTTTCTAAAGTCTAAATTGTCTTAAGCTAGTAAAGCCACTCCCGCTTTCTTTTTATTAAGGTTAACATGGTGTCACTTTCTTTGCCTCTTTACTTTTAACCTAAGTCTTTATTTTATTTTATTTTTTTGAGATGGTGTCTCACTCATATTGCCTAGGCTGGAATGCAGTGGCACAACCTTGGCTTATTGTAACCTCTGCCTCCTGTGTTCAAGTGATTCTTCTGCCTCATCCTCCCAAGTAGCTTGGATTACAGGCATCTGCCATCACACCTGGCTAATTTTTTTTGTATTTTTAGTAGAGATGGGGTTTCACCATGTTGGCCAGGCTTGTCTTGAACTCCTGACATCAGGTGATCCACCAACTTTAGCTTCCCAAAGTGCTGGGGTTACAGGCATGAGCCACCATGCATGGCTCATCTTTTAATATGTATGTTTAGGCCATTCATATTTAAGGTGATTACTAATGTAGTTGGATTAAATTTTAAAATCTTTGCAGCTTTTACCACTTCATGCATTTGTTCTTTGCCCTCCCCTACTTCTTATGCCTTCTCTAATTTTGACTGAACACTTTATATGAATTCCATTTTTCATATTATCTTTTGGTGTACTGTTTATACTTGTTTTTTAAAACAAAACAAAATTTTAGTGATTAACCTATAGTTTAAGATACACATTTAAAAATATTCCAAGTCCACCCTCAAATAACACTATATTATAAGGCAGCTATTCCATAGCAGAGTATACCCAATTCCTCCTTCTCATGTCTTGTGACATTGCTGTCATTCACTTCACTTATAATATGCTACAGCCCCCCAATATATTGTTTCTATTATTGTTTTGAACAGCTATCTTTTAGCTCAATTAAAAATAAGAAAAATATAAGGTTATATATATTTTACCTTCATTTATTCCTTCTCTGATGATGCTCTTTTGTTTCTTTATGTAGATCCAGGTTTCTTTCTGATATTATTTTCCTTATCTCTGAAGAACTTCTTTTAATATTTCTTGTATGCCGAAACTAGTGGTGATGAGACTAGTAGTCTCTCAGTTTTTGTCTGAGAAAGTCTTTGTTTCTTCTTCACATTTAAAGTATAATATCACTGGATAGAGAATTATCAGTTCTTTTTCTCTTTTAACACCCTGAAAATTTTATCACACTGTTGTTTTGCTTGCATGGTTTTTGATGAGAAGTTTGATGTAGTTCTTATCATTTACCCTTGAGAGGTAAGGTGTTATTTTCCCCCTGTGGCTTCCTTCAAGAGTTTTTCCTTCTTTCAGTTTTCTGCAATTTGAATGCTTTGTCTAGGTGTGTGGGGGGGTGGGTGGGGTGGGGTGGGTGTGTATTTCTCTTGCTTGGTGTTTTTCTGAGCTTCCTGTATCTGTGGGTCAGCGTCTATCACTAAGTTTTGGAAAGTTCGCTACTGCTATTCAAATATTCCTTCTGTCCTATTCCCTCTTTATTCTTTTTCTGGTATTCCAGATATGTTTATATCACCCTCCTTTGATGTTATCCCACAGTCCTGGAATGTTCTGTTTGTTCAGCTCTTTTTCTCTTTGTATTTCAGATTGGGAAGTTTTTATTGACCTATCTTCACGCTCACTGATTCCTTCCTCAGCAATGTCAAGTCCACTAATGAGCCTGTTGAAGGCATTCTTCATTTCTTTTACAGTGTTTTTTTATTTCTAGCATTTCCTTTGGATTTTTTGGTAGAGTGTCCATCTCCTGCTTGTATTATGCATGTTCTTGCATGTATTCAACTTTTTACATTAGGGCCCTTAGCCTATTAATAATAGTAATTTAAATTCCTTGTTTGATAATTCTAACATCTGTCTCACATCTGAATCTAGTTCAGATGCTTGCTTTATCTCTCCAGTCTGTTTCTTTTGTTTTGTTTTGTTTTGTTTTGTTTTTTGCTATTGGCATGCCTCATAATTTTTTGTTGTAAACCAGATATATTAGGTAACGAGAACTGATTACTGAGGTAACTAAGGCTTTCCTATGAATATTTATGGTAATCTGAGTAGGAGTTGAGCTATGCTTAATGTTTAATGTTTCTTGTTGCCATAGGTATGAGAAACTTCAAATTCCTCCAGTATCCTTGTTTTTGTCTCCCCTCTTGACTGGGCCTCTCTAAGGACCCCACCCCAGAGAATGTCTATATCCTGCAGCTCTTTTAGCTGTGACCAATCCACTGTTGTCATCCTGTAGCTCTGTTGGTGTTGTGGTAAGGTGTTGGAGAAATGGAGTGTCCTCTAATCTGATTAATCAGTGTTTTAGTGGACCTTTAACCTTCAAAAGTGTTTCTGTCCCTGGTCCAGGAGTGTATTTTTCCCTCCTATCAGCATGTTCTTCATTCTCTTCCCTAGCTGAAGGTTCTCAGTCTCTTTTCTTGAAGTCCTGTCTCCTGTTCACTCCGCTTTTGTTTGTTTGTATTTGCTTTTCAGTTATGAGTCAAGAGAGCTGGAGTGGGGTGGTATTCTCTTCCTCCAACTGGGATATGTTTTCAATATTTCCCTCAAGCAAAATCTTTCCCCTTTTGTTAGAGAGAAGAATCTGGGAGATTGAACAATGGCTTTCTCCCCCTTTTATTTGCCATGACCATACAGGGATCTTATTTGGATCCTCACTGTGAGAACTTGGTGGGGTAACTGAAAGCAAAGTAGAGCAAAGTATGGGGGCTTTATGATTGTGGCTCCAGGAATGTCTTACTCTGCAATCAGCTCATAGTAATTTGTCAAAATTACTAGACAAGTAAGTGTTTGTTCCTACCACTTATGGCATACAGCAACTTCTGCTCCAAGTGCTTTGTCTTTCTGGATTTGCATATCTTTCTAGATTTTGATGAGTGGTTTGCCCTGCACCATTAGTTCTCTGAGAAGTCCAAGA